TTTTCCGAGTCCTAAAAGCTGGGGACGCGGATTCGAAGATATAGAGGGACGTCAATGCTGAGCAACACGACCTTCCAGCTCGATCTGAGACTTTAAGGCTTGAGATTTTTCTTTGTGCCCTGTAAACCTATAGAGGGTTTAGGGTTTAGGGGTTTAGGGTTTAGGGGTTCAGGGTTTAGGGGTTTAGGGTTTAGTACAAGCTCAAAACTAGATCCTAGTTGCCTCGCTGTATAGATCCCCAGCTCCAACCCAGAACCTCAACACCTCTCAAGTCCTCATCCCTATGCCCGAAGCCAACAGTCCCTGTACAACGCTCGCGCCAAAAAAAGCCTTGAGCCTAAAGTGTCACTAAATCCCAGCCTTTTAAGTGCCCCTGCCTTCGAACATGGCAACGGGGACAGTGGAGTGGGTACCCGATGACCAGGCCGTGATGTCTGTATATGTCTGTTAGGTCACCCACGGGGCACCACTTTCCCCGGTTGCCCTTTCTTTTTGTTGGGGGGGGGGGGGGNNGCAGGGGTTCTCCACACTGAGCTTGAACAAGAGGACAAATGCCACCCGATCATGCAGGCGAGACTAGGACTACGATGAACCTGGTTTTGTGTTTCTACCCATACTGTGATGCCACAACCCCAGCTGGTTTAGAGTGCATACAAGACAATGTAGAATGCTGTCCATCTGCGGTCGCCTTTAGGGCATCGACCTCGTCAGGTTGTGGCTAGACAGTCTATGGGACTTCTCTAGCACCCCATCTCGAACTTTGAATTGCTTCCGGCTCTAGTTCTTTGCGATCCTGAGAGGGCACTCCTGTTCTTGGGGTTTGGGGCCGTGGAGTTCTTGGTGCGTAGGGCCTGTGGCAGTTCGAAGTTTCGGGGATTGGGGATCACGGGGTTTACATGCGGTTTTGGGGTTTACTACAGGGATGGGCCCTCTAGTTCTTCATGTAGCTAAGTAGATAGCCTCCAGGCTTGTTTATGTTGTAGCTCTACCATGACCGAACTAACCTTTCTTGAGCGTGTTTCGGGTTTTGACAGCAGCCACTTTCTTCGTGGTTTGGGGTTGAGGACCGTTTAGGAGTTTACGGCTTTTGGGCAGTTTGATTTGGGAAGTATGCGGTTTATGCTTCGGGAGTCTTTTGCAGGGTTCTCCAGTTTAGGATGTTTCGCTCGAGGGCTTGCTGCTGTTTTGGAGTAACACCCTAGAGCTTGGGGGTGTTAAGGTTTCCATTGTTCAGATTGTGGCGGAAGTATACCGGGCCCCTGAGAAGCACAGATGAACTCATAGTTGAGGTGTCGTTTTGGATACTCGGAGTGATAGCCCCACTAGGGTTTAGGGTTGGTTGGGCCACTGGGGCGGCGTTCTGATCACAGAAAGGATGCTTCACTGCTAGATGTGCGGAACTAACGAAGGGGTTGAACAAACTATGTGCCTGCAGGTCAGCGAATGCCCACTCTGCACGCGAACCTCGGCGCCAATCTACATTGCGATGGTCTCCAACGACCTAACTTCCACTGGCCTAAGAGCTTGGGGTGAGGGGTGCAGGGGAGGGGGCCTTCGCCAGAGACAGTACTCAAACATTGTAGCCTGATGAGAGAGCCCTTAAAGTCTGCAAGCAATAGCGGGATGGAGATGGGCGGTTGGGGATCTCCGGCCTTACGCGACCTTCCTACAGAACCTTTATGGGTAGTTCTCTAAATTTGGGTCCCCTTTAGAGCCCTTTTTTATAAGGGTGCCATACTATATTGGGGACCTAACAGGGCACCCTACTTTGGAGAACTATTCCTATAGAGATCCCCCGAAGAATTGTGGAACCCAGGACGCTTTAGCACGACCAAGCGGAAGCACCACTGTCGCGCATGCGGCCGCGTGGTCTGTGGCAGCTGCAGCAGCCCCTCGGCTTCCAAGGTTAGTATTAATCATCTAGGTTCCCCAGTAGTACCCTTTTGCCCTTTTTCTTTTTGGGTTCCCTTATTAAAACCAAATAATAAGAAAAAGGGTACCCTTATTATTCAGGGGCTACTGGGGAACCTAATCATCATCCCTAAACCCTAAACCCTAAACCCTAAACACATTGCCATTACTATGATTATCATTGCAGGAGGTTTCAGGCTTTTGGGTTCGCCAAGACCGGAGGTTTCTGACAGATTCCCTTCTTTCGTCGTTTCAGGGTTTAGGGCCGTATAGGGGTTTAGGGTTTCCCATTTCAGGGTTTAGGGTTTAGGGTTTAGGGTTTCCCATTTCAGGGCCTATCATGGCTGCGAAGTCTTAGGTTTTCTTTCGGGGTTTTCGACCCAGATCCCAAATGGAGAACCTCAACAATGCACAGCAATGGCATACAGGCCCACATAGGATGGTTTGCTTTAAACACCCCTCTATACATATGTCTATACATGTATGTATGTATGTATGTATGTATGTATGTATGTATGTATATATATATATTTATATCCATACATGTATACATATACACACACACTCTCTCTCTCTCTCTATATATATATACATACCGAGGTCCGTCCTCAGAGCCCCCGAAAAGGTAGCTGATGCAACAAACCCTTGTGAATCCTTCCTGGGCCCCACACCGGAAACCCTGCGCTTGACAACTCGAACTCCCTACTGCCCAATTCCCTAAGGGTCCATGGTACTCATATAGTGTATACATTGGGCCTTAACGTAGTCCCTATATAGTTACTTTAGGGCCAATGTATATACTATTTGGGTACATGGCCCCTTAGGGCAAGTTAATCCCCAAAGCCCTGAGCCTCAGATCTTCACCCACTCCCGTAGCCCCCCAAAAAAAGTGCGAAGCTTCAGGCCTCGAAGCCTAAAGCCTGAATCCTAAAATTCCCAAAATGCACGACCACAAAGCTCCGACTCCACTTGCTTGAAGCATGTGTTTTTGTTCCTTGTGGGAGGGGGGGAGGACCTGTACTAAGGAGCCCTTGACTAGACCCTAAGGGTTCACACATCCTAAAGTGCATAGGGTCCCATCAAGAGACAACCTGCCATCTACGAGTGTCCTAAGCCCAAACTTACCGTGCACGTTTGGTATTCTCACCGTTCACCCCCGCCACAAAAGCCCTGAACAACCCTGATGATGCTTTTATATCCAATCCTCGTAAAGAGCCCATGCAGAACCCGGATGAACCAGGAAAAAGCGCGGCAAGAGAACCTGGGTAAGAGAAAATGAGACTTTCTGGGGATCCTCCGAGAGGCAATCAGATCTATTTGCCGAGTCATCGTAAAGAGGAGCTCCGGTTGTGGGGGGGGTGGGTGATCAGATGATTTTACGTTGGGCTTCCCCTTGCAGGATCGGATTATTTTCATTAAGCGTTTAGGTTCAGGGCATAGTGTTTGTGTGTGTGTGTTATCAAGCATTTCAAAATAACATAAAACCCAACCGGGAATGAACATATCATTTTTCTTATGGCGCAAGGAGGCTATAGTAGTCTGACAGGATTAAGCACTTCGTAGTGCCGGTTTGGTGTTGAACTTAAAGATGTTCTGAAGGATTTGAAGGTCCAAACATAAAGGCCTATGGGCTTGAGTTCCACACTGTACAAGGTCTTTGGGTTCGAGGGCTTAGTCAACGCACTGGGTTCTAGGCGGTTTAGGGTCTAGGGGTTTAGGGGTGTAGGGGTTTAGGGGTTTAGGGTTAAGCGGTCTCGGGTTTAGGGGTTGAGGGTTTAGGGACTAGGGCCTCTGGGTGCGAGGGTTTAGATGCCCAAGCAGCCCAATATCCCTCAAATTTCCAAGCTGCGGGATTTCTCGAACGTGGCTGTAGGTCCCAAAACAACAAACCCCTACATGAAGACGGATCATGCGAGCGATCCTAAAGGCCGTCATAATGAGTTAAAGAAACAGTTTTAATGAGGTACATACGTCGGCGGGGCCAAAAACCTTTCATATTGCATCGGTGTCGTAGAAGCATATGATGCATGCAGCAGGAGCGGGTGTGCGATCGATGCTTCGATCTACTGCAGCACGACAAAGGGGTGCCGATGAATGAATCGTTCCTTGAGAACAAGCAGCTGGAGGCCCACCTGCCTTAAAGACGAAATGAGCCCTGAAAGGGCTTAGGGTTCATGTACCGTATAGGGATTCATAGTATAAGGGGTATAGGGCCCCTACTTTTAAGGGTCATTTGGTCCTTAAGGTGCGGTTGGCTTCTGGTTTGCCCATGCCTTCTCGGCCACCCGAAACCCGGACAATCTAGTTTTGTCATGTTGTCTGGCAGGTGTCCAACATAAGGGCCTCAATGAATACTTAGTAGATTATACCGTCCCCAAAGCCTCATTTAAACAATCATTCTATCGATCACGGCCTCCATAGGGAAACCATTGGCGGGATGGTTATTCTGTAGGTCCCAGGCATCGACACTAGAAAGTCGATCCCTCGGCATATCTGGGATGGCTTGAAGGACTCTGGGGTGTCGGGTTCCGGGTGCTCTGAAGGGTGTAATATGGGGTTTCCGAACATAGGAGACCCTAACATAGTACCCTAAAAAGTAGGATCCTTATTATCAAGACACCAAAATAAGGTACCCTAATTTTCAAAGAGTCCCATATTTAGGGCAAGGCCAGATGCACCACCCCGAGCTTCACAAATCACAAAGCAGTGGAACCCGTTTATTCCTTGAGCATCACCCCGTGTCAATGAGCGTCTTGCATGACCTAAGCCGTAATCCCTCGGCCCCGACGAATGCTCTTTCAATTTTCAGGGCAGTTTCAGTGTTTCGAAACATCAAATGGCCTCAAGGCCCTCCCTTCAGAAAGTTTCTTCCAGAGCGCTACCATTGACGATACCAGCAGCTGGGAACTTGATGGACCCGTCGCCGAAACTGATCCCCATGCTGGACATAGCGCCAAGCACTGAGGTATCGGGTTAAATTAAGTCGACAGCTAAATCTGCGAGTAGCGACCCTGAGGCGGCAAGAGCGACTGAACTTAGGTCTGAAAACACTAATCACTAGACCTAGACAAAGCTCCTTGAACCTCTGCATGGAGACCTCGCTGAAGAGTGACCTCCGCGAGAAGCAACTACAAGAAGAGTGGTTTCGAGGCTTTCTGCTCAAGGCTGGGTGTTCTTTGTGTTGTGTTGCAATTTTGGCTTTTGGTTTGGGTTAGCCCGAAACCCTAAAACCCTAAAACCCTAAACCCTGAACCCCAAAATGCTCCCCAAAACCCTAAACCCTAATCCCGAAACCCTGAACGAGTTTGTAGAGGGCAGCTCGATATGGGCTCTAAGGACGTATGGCACGAGACCCCTCGGGCTCAGAATTGCAATGTTTTTTGGGGCGTGGGCTGTAAACTTTAGGCGTTAAAGGTTTAGGGTGCAGGGTTTAAAGTTTAGGGTTTAGGGTTTCGGGTATAAGTAAGGGAGTGTAAGGTTTAAGTTTTAGTATTAGGGGTTCCGCGGTTCAGGATACGGCGTGTAGGAATGTGCGAGGTAGGTATCGCATTGTAGGCTTAATTGTGGATGCCGAGGCTGTAGAAGCTGCTTCCCGTCTGAAATGTTTAGCCACCGCCTGTGTGGGCTTCGGGGATTCAGGGCTTTAGGCTGGAGTACGTTAAGATCTTCGTCAATTTTCTTTGGCGCTAGATGGCTTTTTGGGTTGAAAGGTTGTCACCTCGTCCAAGCGTCCGGTTGTGGGGTTACGGTTTATGTTGTGTTGTGTATGCCTATGCTGGTGAGGTAAATCGACTGCCTACGCCCCAAAATGCCTAAGCCCGCAGAACCGAACTAAACTCATCACTTATCAACCCATGATAGAAGCTTCATAGACGCCCATAAGTACGCCGTCTGAAACCCTTCCCAAAACATGACAAGGAACCCCAAAAAAAGAATGCAACTATGAACCATGCCATTTATTAAAAGCACCTTGGAAGAAAGGTGCGGGGCGATGCCGGGGATGCCAGCGGCTCTGAGCAGGGACCATCTTCTGAGGCAGAGCAGAGGCTCGGACAAGCTTTGGAGTTGGGGCTTCGGGGTTTACAGGGTTTTTTAGGGGCTTTGGGTTGGGTTTTTAGGCTTCAAAGGGGTTTAGGGTTTAGGGCTCTGGGTTTTGGTTTATTTTAGGGTTAAAAAGGGTTTATGGTTTAGGGCTTTGGGTTTGGGGTGTAGGGTTAAAAGGGCGATTTAGTTTCAGGGATTGGAGATTTGTGTTGGCTGAAGGCTTGCTGAGCTCTGTGTGTGTGTGTTTGCGTGTGTGTGTGTGTGTTTGTTTGTGTGTGTGTGTGTGCGTGTGTGTGTGTGTGTGTATGCGTGCGCTGTTTGTTAAGGGGTAGGTTTGGCTGACGGCTGGTCATGCAAGTGCTACAGCCGCCTGAATAAGTACTTTCTTGGTTAAGGTTCCTAGGCTACTTATTTCATATAGTAATAATAATAAATAAATCAATATATATATATATACACATACACACATACATACCTACATACATACATACATACATACATACTTACTTACTTACTTACATACATACTTACATACTTACTTACATACTTACTTACTCACTTACTTACTCACTTACTTACTCACTTACTTACTTAC